TCTTTACTACATTTTTTGATAAATTTACTCAAATACCTTTTCCTTTCTCCTTATTCTCTCTCTCTCTCTCTCTCTCCCTTTTTCTTTTCATTTTTCTTTCCTTTAAATTCAATTTTATCATTTAAATACAGCACACAATAAATAATATATGATGGATTGATTGACAAAAATATAACTGACTAATATTTTTAATCATTTTTTCAACTACTTAAAAAAAAAAAAAAAAAAAACGAAAAAGAAGAAAATTTGAAATGATTTAAAATTTATAAAATTTTATATGAAATTCAATCTAAAGCTGATATATGCAATTTTTTTATCCTTTTTTTTTTAAAAAAAAAAAATTATTTTACTGCTATTTACTTCTTTAAAATTAAAAAAAAACGGAATATTTGCTTTTTTTTCTTCTGAATTTTCATATTCTAATAGTATTTAAATAACACGTAATTCCTTCCTTTTTTCTTCTATTTAACAAATTAATTTAAAAACTCTTTCAGTGATATCATAAAATACACCCACTTCACACATATATTTACGTCATTATTTTAATAGTGTAAACGACTTGGAGCAAATTATCATCAAAATATGATTACTTAATTTACGAACATATATTTTTGGTTACTACTACTACTAATATTGGTGGCAGTAGCAGTAGTAGTATTAATTATTACTGCTATTAGGCCTTAATTGTAAAAATTTTTTAAAAGTTTAATTTGTATTAAATTTAAACAACAACAAAAAAAGAAAATTTAATAAATATTAAACAAAATAAAACTTAAGCTAATATCAATTCAATTACCTTTGGCAATTTGAGTATAATGTAAGATTGAAATAATTTAATAATAATACAAATATTTTCACAAAAGCCTTTTCCCAGTATATTTATACTTGCAAAATTTGTAAAATCAAACAAAATGCGATAAAAGATTAGAACTGCTAAAGACAACAATTAAGTGACTGCATAGAAACAAATTAATTAACAACACAACACTATTGTTATCCATTTATTAAACAAATGATTCGTTTATTCCTACCTTGCAAAGTCTTTCCGGCATAATATTAAACCGTTCCGGGTAAAGCAAGTTTCACTTAGCAGTTCTTTGCAATCTGCGCATTGAATGCAGTTTGCATGCCAAGCTTTCTCGAGGACATGGAAGACATAACGATCCAATATTGCATTATTACAACCAGCGCAAATTGCCATCACAATAACTTTCCTGTTTCCGCCCACACAAATATAATAACCTGATACCAAATGGAAAATATGGCTATCTTGTTAATGCATTCAAATTTCAGGATTTACTTCTTCTTTTCCTTTCTTTTTAATCCCGTTTTTTCTCTTTCCCCTTTCTTTCTTTCTTTCCTCTTGTTTTTCCCTTTCCTTTTAATTCTTTTTGTTTTTTTAATCAAGAGAAAAAAAATTTTTTTTTTCAAAAATTCCCGAAATGTTCTCCGGAATGAAAAAAAAATTTATTTCTTCTTCAGGAAATCAATAAGTAGAAAATACAGCAATAAAATATCATTCCAGAACTGAATTCAGAACGAAATATTTATGAAGGAATGGATAGTTTTGTTAAAAAAAAAAATAGATAAGTCTCGTTAGTACATCATTATCACTACCATCAAGATGAGCAACAGCAAGATGGCGTTGACAGGATGGGACATCCCTTCGTTGTCATCAATGTTGATGGGTTGGCTTTTAGGGGATTGGTCGATGGGTCGGTCGGTCGGTCGATCGGTCGGTCGGTCGGTCGGTCGGTTGGTTGGTTGATTAGTTCGTTGGTTGGTTGGTTGATTGGTTGGTTGATTGGTTACTGCTACTGCTACTGCTACTGATGCAGGAATACTGCTGGCACGGATAGCTCTGGGAGCAAAAAGAGGGCGGGACAGATGAGACAAGGGGACATTCAATCTGCAGTGCGACACCTCCTCCACCACCACTCACGTGACGGGCAAGCCTGTCCCCTCCTCTCCTCCCCCTCTTTCCTCCTCTCGACAACACTACTGAATGAATATATGGATGCTTGATATGGTACGGTAACTAATTCAGAACACTCATCTATATAAAATACACACATACACACACACACACACACACATGCACACACATGCACACATACATGCTGCACAGACGGGTAGACAGACAGACAGACGTGTGCTTACTTACACGACATAAAGTAAAGTAGTTGTGGGTTGGAATGGATTGTGTATAACGAAGGGATTGATTAATTTTATATTATTTCAAGAATTTTCAGCTTTTATGCAAGGTGTAGCTCAGAGTGAAGTGAAGTGATAAGAAGGGAGAAGGACAGTGATTTGAATTGCTGTTAAAAAAGTGTGGAAAGGGTCGTAGTGATATGAACAGTGAACAGTGATCACTTACTTTTGTGTTTTACTTTTCATGATTTACTTATATGTGTCATCTATAATGTATCTTAGGGAATTTTTGTTTATAAAAAGGAACATATCCACAAGTTTGCAAAGTTTAATTATTTATTATAGAAATAGGAATGTTTAAGCAACAAGAAAATTTATGGCTACATAAATCAGAAATGAATTTTGACATTATTTAATTGAATTACTTAAATTCATATTGAATATATTTCATGTAAATGTTGAATGTCTCTATAACGTACACAATTATTTAGATAAACACATTTAAATATTTTTAAATTATACTTTACGGAAATTCTTAAGGAAAAAAGAAATGTGAGAAACACTTCAAATGAGAAATTACGATTCAATTAATCATGGCTTTTATTTCGTTTTGATCTCACTTAAATTACATTACGTTGATAACACTTGATAATACGAATTACAAAAAATTCGATTTAAAAAAATTAAGAAATATTGTGACAGTATCTTAAATGAACTCTTTTGGAAGTGTTCTTGGTTTATTGATTAAAAAAACGCATAAAAAATCTTCTGATAGTTTCGAAGGATAAGTGAGTTTATATTACAGTGTTATCTTCGAATAGTATTAATCATTTCAGTTGCTAATTTTAATTTTGTAATTTAGAAATTACGATAAGATTAAGCTTAAACATTTTAAATCTGCTCTTGACAGATAAGAGATTAAAACCTTTATAGCAGTAAAACTAATTTCTAATCTATATTTTTCTAGAACTATGATAATATGACGTGCACGATATTCTTTGCATTCAATATGTATTATCCCAGTTATTTCGAGTAAAACTTGAATTTTTTTTTATTTATATCACGAAAAGGATAAGAATGATATCACAGCGAATAAAAGACAAACAATTATTCCTTTTGAACATAGCCAACAGCGATGAAAATTGTACGAGTGTTGTGAAATTATCACGCAAGTAAATCTTCATCCATATTCAAATTATGCACCTTTCACTAAAATACCACCCAGTAACTGACATCATTCAAATTTAAGGCTCAAGAAAAATCATAATTCGCTACTAAAATCTTTGAAATCTGGAGCTTGCTCATAAACTTAATTCTGGGATCATGGTAATAATAAGCAGGAAGTGTTGATGACTAAAAGAAGAATAGCTGATGAGAAAAGAAGTCAGTCGAGACAATTCCGAGATGAGATTTTCTTAGAAATTGAAGTAGTGGAAATGATTTAATCCTTTTGAATTTTCATTTGCTACATGCTCCTAAAACTCTCTGTTTTAAGACTGCAAACAATTAATGCTATTTAGTAGTAAAACAATGCAAATTTTAATAATCAATGACAATGCATATGCAGAACAATTCTCTGATTTTGCCAGGTAAAACTATTCCTTCACAAATATTTCCTACATTTTATTGAGAAAGTTTATCGAAAACTTTCTTTTTTTACATCGTCATAGATGTACCAGAATCCTGCTAACACTTTAAGGATAATTTCAATCAGGAAACTTTTTCAGTTTCCATAAATATCTAAAAATCATTGGAAAAAATGAAAGCAAAAAGAAAGAAGTGAGAGTCAGTACTTTGCATAAGTTCCATGGGATCGATCCTTCGATATTTAGTCAATTACGCCGACTGAATGGTCAGACATACGGTTAGCACTACGAACAGAAATTATATATATGCGTACACATCGAAGCCTAATACTTTAATATGTTGATTAGCTGAAAATTTTAGCTAGCAATAAGTTTTAAAATGGATGAAATGTATACCTAGTTCCAACATTCCTTTCCTTAACAAAAAAGAAAAAGGAAAAAAAAAAGCAAGTTTGGATTCGAATCTATACTTTTCTGCAAAAGAAATATTTTAAGTGATAAAAGTTCCAAATAATAACAAGTAAAAATTTCCTAGAAGTAGAAAAAAAAACCCCTCTTCTTTTTAATAAATATTCTGCACTCAAGGGCAACTGCACAAAACATACAAATAAATTGATAATTTATCATTATACAAAATTATACATTATACAAAAGATACTTTTACATAATAATACACGATACTGGTATCCTAGTATCCGAAAAACGGTAAGGAATCTTATATATAATCGAAAAACACAAATTTCGCAAGAAAAGATTCTGAAAAAGAAACCTAACATTTCAATAGGAAAATATTACTCTAGATCCGTCACTTCAAAACATTCGCTTTCGATTAACTCGTTCAGAAATCAATGAACTCGCCAAACTGTAGGAAGTAACCGACTTCCACGGTTCCATCCCTCACGCATAACAGTAACTCCTAATCACTCAATTCCTGAAAACAAAAAAAAAAAAAGAAATTTTCCCTAAAATGCACCAAATATCGATTTAGCTTGGCTTGTTATTAACCATCTAATGACAAATAGAATAACAATTTTACTATTCCTGCTGTTTACAAACGTTTGATTAGGTATAATGCAGCTCCCATTACCATTGCGAAAATGACTTAACATCTTTACTACTGGCACTTCTCCTGAATAATTCAAGTCCAATTAATGGAACATAAACCTGCCATAATAAACCTAGAAAAAAAAATACCAACAATATATACAAAAAAGAGAACCATACAAATGTATCAATCACTCTAACAGTAGAATCACTCAACTATTTATTTTTATCTTCTTTCTCACTCGGAATGAGCACTGGCAAAATAGGTAAATCACTGGAACTATCCGAATCACTGTCGTAATTTGAGTCCGAATTTGAATTACTGAAGTGCAAACATTAGATCAAAATTCACCTAATTATTGAAATGATTTTCACAATTTCCAAGGTAAATCAAATAAATCCAACTTTCAAACAATACGTAAAAGAAATTTCTTATGACTTAAGATGAATTGCAACCTGTAGAAACAATTTTCTTGTTTTATACAAAGCTATTACTCTACAGTTCATACGAGTTCAATTTTTTAAATGGCTACTCTTTTGCTTTGTGTTCTACTTCATATAGGCTAAAATACAAGCCATACCATATTGAAATGTAAAATTCCGAATCATTTTAATTTCCATCAAACGGAAGTAATTTTTCGGCAGTAACAGATCAATAAATTTGACATAACTCAAAGTAATAACTATGCAAACCTTGAAGATGCATAATTCGCCATTCCAGGAAGAACACCAATTACTTTAAGTGCAGACGGATAGGTTATACTGTCTGACATGAAACTTAGCGGTCGTTTCTCAATACATTTGTCCATTCCAACATCACTGAATCATGAGCTGATGAAGCCAAAGAAATACAAAATTTACAGATTTCAAGAAAAATAGTGAATGAGCGAAATTTCTTCTAGCTTAAAAACTTTGGAGAAGATATCTTAATTATCAGACAAAAAAGAATTTCAAAGTCACGGATATCGCTCATTAAATTTTTAAATTTATAAATACAATAATCTTTAAAATTAAAAAAACTGGAGGAAGAATACACACCTTTTTCTTTTAACCGCCATACGAAGTATTGCAGCCTGTTTATTTTCTTTTGGTGCTATACCACCAGTTGATTTTATACGTAAATCTGATATTGATGGTCCATTTTCTTCTACGCTTTTACGTGCTTGAGCACGATCAATTTCGCTCAAAAGCGCTTTTTCTTCCTGAAAATTAATCCTGAATTTAGGTTTCTCGTTAAGGATGAAATCACTCCCTAATTCCTGCAATTATTACTCAACTTCCAGAAAGTGATTGACTGATTGTATCAATATTATCAAATTATGAAAAGTAAGGAATTGCTTCAGCGAGAGATTTTTCCTGACTTTGGATGAAATGTAATCTACAGATTTCTTGTTAAGAATTTAATAAATCCTTAACTATTTCTTCTCAATTATTCTCTAAAAGACTTTCCTACTGAATGAATGTTGGAATATTAGTTTCAATAAGCTAAAAAACATCAAAAGATATCATACATCCTAGGTGAGAAACTTAAAATCATTGACCTTACTTTTCTCGAGATCTTGCTTGGCTCTAAGACTTTCAACTCCAGAAAGAAAATCACATTCATCCGCATCAAGTCCTCTAACCATATTTCCTGAATAAAAAACAAAAATTTGTTTCAGTGATTCATAAAATATTCATGGTTTCAACTACAAGACACTTTTTGTGCTTTTTTGTTTTTACATTATCAACTGTCAGATACATTCAGTAAGTAATTATAAAACTTACTAAATCTATGTTCTTCTTCATACTCTGCTTGTTTTCGATCGCGAACTTCTTTTAAACGATCATACAAAGGTCTGCTGTCAACTTCTTCTTCTGGCACTTCTAAAACGCTAATTGGCAACGAAAGATATGCAACTTAAGATAAATACACCACCAACAGCAACGATCGCTATAGTTCTCTAGTATAAATAATGCAGTTTTGGATCACAGATATTTTAAATACGAATTATCCTGATAGCTAAGTTTTTCGTGCTATCAAGATAGTTCATTTCATATAATTTTGCAGTTTTTCGCGAATTTAGTCTAGAATATTTGATTTAGGAATACTCATCTTCATATTAGACATCAAGAAAATCCTTTTATGCAGCGAATTACTGAATAAAGTTTACAATGAGTCATAAAATGAAGAGTCAATTCCGTTACTAATAATAACATCAAATTAGTATAAGGAAGAAGCAGTAGCACACCTTCTGGATCAGTAGGTTTTCTAACTTTGTTCCATTCTTCCTGCCGCCGTTTTTTCGCTTCATCCAATTCCTGCTCACTTATGAATCGATCGCTCATACTGGAAAAGAACAAAATACATGCAAGTAATAGAAACCACAAAATTTTATTAGTAAATAAACAGAGAACGAATTAGATAAAATCGTATGCCAACAGTTATCACATGACTAGTGGTGCAAAGTAATAATAATAGCAAGACTTTATCACTGAAGGACATCACAAGACGCATAATGACAACGAGATCAACAAGTATGCTTGTAATTATCCTAAACATATGTTTTATTAATATGATTGGAAGCTGAAAAAAATTCTTGCCAAATATTTCTAAATTTATCTTTGGAATTCAATCAAATTCAATTAAAATGACAGCAAACACCAAAAAGCAAAACAACAAAACTGAAAAAGATTAAAAACTTCTAGTTCCATTTAAATCTTATTCATACAAAGTGCTTTGACTAAATTTTATAAAACAAATTAATTTTTTCATTAATTTTGTAATTTCTGACAACATTTCTTATACCTAAAAAACTTATTCCATTTATTCAACATAACAAAATGCAATAGCAAAATAAAATTCAAATCTAAGCTACTAAGCTACAAATCTTCTTCCTTCCTTATTCGAACATTCGCCTCCCCTTCCCCTCCCCCAACCACACCGAACCCCGTTGATCACTTCACCTTATATCCTACTTTATCACTTAATCACTAACCCCTCACACCACTGCCAATATCACACGCCCTCATCCCATGGCCACCCCTCCTCTTCCCCCCCCCCAACCACACTGAACCCCGCCCCTTTTCCCCTCCGTTATCACCCAATCCCTAATTACCAAGAAAATTTCGCCTTATCGTTTTGTAGTCTCCACTTCAAGAAGCCTGCCGTTTCTTGCAACTCAAAAATGGAATGTAAAATGTTTGAAATTTGAAATATAATCTCATTCCTACGTGATAGAAGGCAGTTCACGTGAGAGCGCTCGTTTCTGACGTGGACAAGTTTGCAGTGATTGTAACACTTTTGCATTTTCTAGATTTTTACATTAGCATCGCACTCTTTTTTTGTTTGAATTACATGTGATAAGTCTGAGATATGTTGTGTAAGACGTGGAAACATTTTGCAAATGTCACGTTGGGACTTAGAGCTGCTTTACGTAAGCGTTACGTAATATGGAGAGGGGAACACGTGCAATGGTTTAATTAAGACGTATAGTTGTTTAATATGATGCTGAGCAGAAAGTGAGTTATTGCTGTTAGTGACGTGAATTAAGTGAGTCATTTAGAGGTTATTAATTAGGAAGCAATAAAAAGTTATACTATTCTGTATTATAATTCGCATGAATGGTGGATAATACTGTCAAAAAATTATACAAATCACATTTAGCATTGTTAAAGTCTCGTTAATTACTATTAGCTGCACAGTGAATTTGCAAATTTTTTTTTTCTTAAATTACTTGCTGGGAATTTCTGCTAGGAAATTAATTAAGGAAAAAATCTATCAAAGTTATTGGTTATATTTTGGAAAGAAAGTTAAAACTGAAAATATTAAATGAAATTATAAGTACTAATAAAAGTCAAAATTGCAATTACTGATTTAAAAATGACACAACTGTTAATGAGAGCATATTTGATTGCATAACTCGTCAAGCAATTTTTGAATCGTTTGCATGACGAACCATGTAATTCACATTTCCTTATAAGAATCATTCATCTAACACATTTCTGACTTCAAAACTGATTTCTTCATGTCATGTGAATGAAGTCTTACTGTTTGTGTTTCCTTTTGAGAAATGAATGAAAGAAAACTTTTTAAAGTATTATATTAAGTAATATAGTAGTTTCATCGAATCATTCGGTCAGGTTTAAGTGAAAAAAGCTTTGGCTTCTATTTTTTCTCGAATTAGGAAGTGTACGCATCAATAAAGATTGATTTTCACATCATTTTTTGTGAATGTAAGTCAGTAAAGAAGTTTGGTCAATTAAGTTCATCGTAATTCGGATTGAATTTAGCATTAAATGGCTTCAAAAAATGTCATCTGTGGGGATACGAACAACGTTTCTTGGCCGTTAATTAAGTACACGAAGCTTGTTGGAACACGTCTGGTAATCATTTTTCTTTTTCCTGTAGTTGAGAAAGTGGGCTTATTAAGAATAAGGTATCAACTATTGCATCCTCTTTAATAATCAGAAATATACCTTGATTTTTAGAGTGCTCATTACAAGTAAAGGCTTTCAAAATAGAGATATTATTTTCGTTGATACAGAAAAAAACGAATCTTGCACTGAGTCGTCAGAGGATAAAAGATTTTTTTACTAAACGATAATTACAATATTTCCAGGAGATCCCAGTAGCATCCGGGCAAGCAATGACTATTACTTACAATAAAAATCGATGTTATCTTAGTGTTATGTTCAATTCATCAACACTTGAGGAGTTTTCATTGGCACCGAATCCTCGTCCAATTGTGAGAAGTAAAGAAAAGGATGTTTTCATTCAAGTTTCTTCAACGGTAACTTTTTCAACTATTTAAGTGAAATTCCACATAGGTATAAAATAAGCTGAGAAAAAGCCAATAGCATCGCACACATAACATGTAATTGCTCCATGTGAAAAACGTAATAAGAATTATTGTGGTGATTCCTAAAGCTGAACTGATCCATTGCATGGATATTTTTATTAAAATAATTTCTCAAATGTTATATTTCAATTTCGACTGATAAGTTTTTCTTTCTTCAGAATGGCACAACGCTGACTAGATTTCGCATAAAATTTGCTAGATTATCAGATCATGCGTCATTTGTGGAATTTATTTCATTCTTTGTTAAAGTTTTACCACCTTCAAACCTGAATACTTCATCGGACTTTAGCCAGCCGTTATCGGTAACAACCACTAATTGATTGTTCAAGTATCGATACAGTTGATACAAATATTTAGACATTGATTTCAGCACTCAGATAAACATAACCATTTACAATCATTGATTTGTATGTATACAAAGTAAGTTTGAACAAATTTGATATTTTATGCGATAATCATTTTGGCATTTATTGCAGCAGGGCTATACTGAAATGAAGTCATCTCAAGAAAGCTCTCAACTTAGTTTATTTAGCAGCGATTCTTCTTCGCAAAAATCGATGTAAGGAACACTTTTTTTGTCGGCAAATTAAAAGTGTATTTTCAAGTATAGATTATTGCTACAGAATTAATGCTATGTATTCTTTGTCAGGAATGTTACTACCATTCTTCCTCCAGAACCAATCTCTGACTTTTACCCGATGCAGAATACGACTACCCATACTTCGTTATCTGCGGTACTATTTTTGTTTAACTTTTCTTTTCATTTGTTCAGTTTTACTTCTTACATTTAATTCTTTTTTTTTTCAATTCCTATTGTGAGTATATATCTTTGCCAGAAAACTAAAAATTTATTTTCTTTTCAAGCCGCCAAGTCTAGTGCTTCCAATGCTTGATGCTCAGCAAGTTTTCTTATCGTTTTAGTCTTTTAACCTAAATGTTTGACAACTGAAGTCAAAATTGTACAGAGAATATTTGTTTTAGGATTTTTTCTTTTACATTCATTCTAATTTAAAATTTACCAAAAATTTTGTAGTCTTTATTGGTTAATAAGAAATGAAAGAATGTAAAGCTCATAATTTTCAATGCAATTCGGTAACTCAAGAGTACCTTTTTTTATTATCTATTTATTCTCATAAATTCTTCTAAATAGTGTTTCAGAGTTTGATCGATGAGAAAGTTTATGAAGTGTTGAAACCTATGAAACATCCAGCAGTTCAGCGTTGTTCCGAATCTTTCGAAATCCCTCCAGTGTCTTTTTCTCAAGTTTGTAAATTCCATTATTTATCTGAAACCGGAAGTTTTAATTAGAAATTCAAACTAATTAAAAATTTCTGAAAATTTTAAGGTTTCAAATATTTTGTTATACTAAAGTTCTGAAGCCTAAAATTTAATTTGGTAAAAAAAAGCTTATTCACTTTATGAAATTTTGTATAGAAACATACAGTTCTTTCAACTTCAGAGTTCTGGTGCGAAATTATTGAATTGTTTAAAAACTTTAAAAACTACCGATCAGGCAGTTCCTTTTAGCACTAATGATGTAAGTATTTTTCTTGATAAATATTTTGCTTTAATGATCGCAATTATTTTTCTTCAAGGAAAAAAAAAATATCTAAACGTTTGCTTAGTAACTGCTTGTTTCTGTAACAGAATAGTTGGGTTTACTGTTTGCCATTTTACATTTATGATCAAAATGTTTTGTTGACTGACAACGATTTCGAAAAGCCATTTCCAACATTATTATTGAAGCACAGCAGATTATCATTTGTTACAAAATTATATCGAATCTCTTTTTAAGATGGAAATAGTAGCCACTCAGCCTATTGTGGATTTATCGCCAGCGACACAGTTTAGTACAATGTCCGATAAAAATTATGGACAAGAAAATAGACGAAGTGTGGTTGGTGATTATTTTATGCTTTTTCTATTTTTATATGGGACATATCGGAAATCTATCGATAGTTTTCGCATTGTTTTGCCTTATAACGAAGATTAATGCATACCTTAAAGTGATGTGCTTTATTTGAATGATATGCATTGTCCTTCGAAACATTATAACTCTTCTTTCTTTCTAAGTGATACTAAAGAATTTTGAATTTAATCAGGATCCTTCCTGATGTTGGGACAACCAGAATCCTTCCTGCATTATGTTTATGTTGTCTCCAAGAATGAGCATCGTCAACCCTTAAGCATCAGCTTTAATTTTTTTTATTATTTTGAAACTTCTGGTAATATTATTAATTGCCTTTCACCAATTCTGCGTCATTAACACTCTCAGTATATGGGTGATCCGATTTAATTGTGTGAGAGAAATATACTAAGTCAGAAATCAGAAGATAGAATTTCAAAAATTCAGTATTATGCTAATTCTTGGTTTTTGTAAGGATGTCCAAACTGAGTACTGTTTATCGATCAGCGATCTGTTGAATGATTCATCATTACTTGAGGACTATTTGACGGCAAAACTTAAGGACCATCAGTTCATGCAAC